TATGTAAGAATTCATAGCTACCCAGTGAATCCCAAAATGTATTATTAGCACTATAAGAGAATTGAAACTTCAACCGCCTACGAAACGTGGTCCAAATATTGTAGAAATCCCAAAACAATTCGACCAGATGCAGGACACCGAGAGCTTCAAAACAAGCCAAGGTATGAAGTATTTGAATCACAGGAAGCCGGAATAGCCTTTACAGTTGGAAATTTTTACTGTGCCACATCATGGGTTAGAAGTTAATTATCAAATCGTAGATCGATTTTGCGAAACGTAATACTGCGGAAACGTCGCTTCTGGATGCTACGATCGCCACAAAACATGAAAGTCTTAATATTCAATAATTTGTCGATCCTAATTTTCAAAAAATAACCTGCATTAGTGCATTGCTCTCGAGCGATCAAAGAATATAGCATATAGGGGGATAAGTCATTACTGGTTAAGAGATCATATGCAGTGTTAAAATTCTTTTATTTGCGAAACATTGAAATAAAAAATTTCGGGAAGAAAACCAGGTACATGATAACATTTCTATGCTAGTGGCTGGAAACTAAATACATTTTTTATTTTCGTGCGACATGGCTATACCTTAAGGATGGAAAACGATGCAGGGGCTGGAATTCAGATATAATTTTACTTCGCTTGAATGATACCCTTATCCTTTATTAACCTCACCACTACATCTAGGTTTCGCATTTCTCAGAACGGAAGACCACGACATTGAAACTTCATTTGAGGAATTTAAATCCCTTGGAATTTTTTCTCTCGGTAGGGTTCCGCAAATATTCGAATCACGATCCGAATGATCCTATCAAAATGAAGATTATTCAAGCCTTTCTCGCAACTCGAATCCGGGAGTGGAATGCTCCTAGTCGAATCAGATTCAGAACCATATTTCTCAGCGAATATCAAGGATCAAGATTAGTACATATAAAATACCAGAAAAAATATTAAGTATCATGTGTAAGCATCGATGTCATTTTTCGAAATTAAATCGAGCAATAGTAGGACATACCTTGTTTTTATTTTTGTAGGAAATGCTCGATCATTCGGTTGATGGGATTGATGATGGATGTGATGGATGTAAAGGTAAGTTTGATTAGCTTCGTTTGAGCTTTTCGTTGATTTAAGCAGAGCGGATAAAAGGGATAAAAGGCTCAACTAAAAACTTACCTCCTTTTTATACGATTTGTAGCGATATACACCGCGTGATCTTGAAATCGGCAAGTATGATCGCATCACGAAAATCTGGATCAACAGCCCGGTTGCGGGAAAGTTCGAGAAATCATGCTATACTATGGTTGTGATGCGGATAATTTAGTTGGAGAGTATTTTTCCGCTCTTGCATCACATATTCCAGTACCCCGTGATGATCGAGAGGAATTCGCTAAAAAAATCTGAAAGGTAAGTTTGATACTAACTTTACTTACCTCACCGCTACGCCCACCAGGAATCGAATTAATCGTTCATTAATAATGACCCTTCATCCCTGAATTTCAAATAAAAGGCAAATCGATCATCGGATTGACGAGATCTGCCACAACACAACCCCACAACACTACCAAATGCCCTTCATTTCTCACTTCATTCGTCATTCTTATAATGAACCAGCCCAGCTTTTCTATTACTGCGTAATTCGAATTTTTTGATGATCGGCGTTACAAGTATCTGAAATTTCAGTAATCCACCACGTAGGGTGACTCCAGCGAAATTGTTTCGAATTATGAACCTAAAGAAGTAACAAGAAAAGAAGTCATTAATACTTAATTGCGGAATGATGTCAATAAAGTTGATTAACCTTCTACGACGATAAGTAATGAAAATTATCGATCCCTGAATATTTCGATTGAAAAACAAATCCGATTAACAGATTAACGAATCATAAGCAACGTACATAATAACCGATGCTTTTTTGAAATGAAAAGTTGACCCAAAGGTCTTTTATTAACGCGAGCTCATCTAAAGCATATGCAAAGAATTGGACATAACAGCATTAAAAATATATTAGGACGCAAATCCTGCTATAAGTGAAGCTAAATGTATTCTAAATTAATGACTCTGTCGTCTACTTTTACTTCTTTTTGCTTCCCAAACTTGTATATCAGAATATTTATCTTCCATCCATTTTTTTGCCTTTTCGAAATACAATTTATCATCAAAATACAAGTGTACAACAGTTTCGTCTTCCCAATTCCACCATCCAAATAATTCTAATGAAACAAAACAATCCATTATTTGTTCATCCCCCCATTTTTTAATCGTTATGCCATCAGTTATTTCAAGAACATATTTTTTCTCGAAATTAGGTCCAGACGCGTATGCGAAATATCGATAGCAATCATCCAGAGGATAAAAAGACAGTCTTGATTTTTCTTCTTTTGGCAAAAGGTCACCAGATATTCCTATAGAAATGATATTTCACTTATACTACTCGTATGATTTCAAACAACAATATTTTCATACCTGATGTCCAAAACCATACTTCAACCTTCCAATTTAGATAAAGAGCTTCTAATACCATTGGATAATAATCACCATCACCGGCTATTAAGACAAAAACACCAGGATCCTTGGACGTGATTACTTTCATTCCATCAACTACGAGAGACGTATCTATTTTCTTCTCTTTATTTTCGACATTTCGATCATAAAGGACCACTTTAAAGCCCTGACTTTTAATGTGCTTCCATAGCGAATCGTTCGGAGGTGGACGTGAGCCAACAATCACTGGATCACTGCCAATTCTTCGTCCATTCATTACTGTAGATAGAAGACAACCATGATCGAAGCGAAGCTCGTTGAAGTAAAAGGATCCTCTCTTCCGATCAATGGTGCCTGCTTTTTCGAGATTACCTACAGTATACTTTCCTTCGATAAATAAGTTGGAGTTGTCCACAAAAACGAACACAAGTCCATTGGGTGATTTTGATGTGCCTGCTACAAAGGAAGAAAACCTTTGGTATAAGTTATATTGAAGACAGATCTGACCCCACAGCGAGAAAAGCAGTGTAGGTTTGGTATATTCGAATGCATCGTGGTACTTACCTCGTTCTATGATAACATGAATGTGTTTTTGGGCGGGTTTGACGATAAGAAGCAGGAAAAAAAGCACAAGAAAAAGTAAGTATTCGGTATTATTGGCAAATATGACACAGTGTGGGCAAGAATGTAACATACCAGGCGTGGATATTAAGGACTTCAGGTAACCCCGCTTCTCATCATCCGTCGCGTAGTCAGGGAGAAAAGACACGACGACATTTATTTTTTCTACGTTTTCAGTGAAGTATTTACGCAAACTGTCTTGTTCATTTGGAGTGAAACCGAGACGATTAATTTCCGTTCTAAGAGTCGTTAGTGCATCCATTTTGGTATTACAAATTGCTTAATCAGAGAAAGAAATTTTTTTTGGGTTATCGTTATGGGGGGTATATATATAAGAAATCGAATGTCGCACATATGTATTGATCTGGACTAATTAGTTACCTGTCACACCAGATTAATTACAAAATCATACTTCATATAAAAAAAGTGCTAAACTTTGAGATCGTGACCTCATGTCACAGTCTCGGAACTTTCGTAGTTTTTTTTACATATCAGGTGATAAGTGTGAAGAATCTTCACGGTACTTTATTAATGCATGCGAGCGATAAAAAAAATAAATACAAGTGCTAAAGCAAACAGACTAACCCGCTGTACATGATAA